CATGAAAACCCCAAGAAATAATTCCTGACCTATCACCGTATGTATCTCTAAACCTTGTGGCCTCGAGATTTGTTACGGTGATTGTGGATTTGTTCCCAGGTGCATTTGTATCAGAACTCCTCTTGAATAAGAGTTATCCCTTCTCAGCTGCTTCAGCTTGTCTGTCTCTGATTATCTTTTCAACGTGAGGAGCATAGGCAGGTTCATCTTCGAAACGATTCACAACCCTTGAGGTATCATCAGTCGGCACAGCGATGGGGTGAGCCTCAGTGTGAAGATTAATCCTATGTGATGGGTTTTTGCCATAAGAACATCCTATGTGCTCGTACAAACCCTAATGCTTGGATCTAGGTTTCTCTATTGTACATGCAATTCATCCAAGACTATAAACCCTAGATCTAGTATATGATAATCAATATAACATATGAATTAGGGTTTAGATCATACCTTGATTTTTATGTAGCAATAACAATCTCAAATCCTTCTTGTATTGACTTTAGAAAGCTTAGAGTCACAAATGTCACTCCTCTAATGGTTCACAAACACCAAGAGCAAGTGGATGAAGAAGAGAAGAGTAGGAGACACTCAAAAAACCGTCCAAAATCCTAAGGAGTTCCTTGCCCACGTTTTTGGTGCTCTCGGGATCTTTAAATAGTGAAGCTATTAGGGTTATCAAACAAGGAAACCCTAATTTGGATGCTTAAGCCCTAAGCAACCCATGGACTCCTTCCTTAAAGGCCCTAGGATGATTTCTAATAGGTTTCCCCATAGAATTCGTCCACCCCTTTAATAAGGAGTCCATTAGCTCAATATTCAACTATCATACAATTGACAGTTCAAGTCCCTTAAGTTTAATTAATCTCTTTTAGCCATAAACTTAATTCTTATTAATTATTGACTAATATTAATTATACAATATGATTTCTCCTTTAATATATTATTCTCATAATATATTAATAAATCATATTTAATCCTTTCTCTCCATAATTCATCCTATCAAGTTGCTTTGGTGAAGGCAACCAAAAAGGACCATGCACCATCAGGTCAAGTACATACCAATATAGTTATGGACTTAGACACTAATCCAACAGTCTCCCACTTGGATAAGTCTAATAACTATTCCGCGTATGACTTCAGATCCTGATCTGCAATCGTAGCTTTCTAAACCCGCTGTCAAATCTGATCTTATCAGATACACGTGTCCTTTAGATAAGGGATCATATATTCCTCCATTCTAGATATCGTATAGACTGAG